TGAAGCGTATCAACGTAAATCCCCGCGATGTTCACGACAGCAGAAATTCCTGTCGCGCAGTCTAAGCACTCTTCAACATCCCCTTCCTCTACAAAGCCATCATCCGCTCACCCTTCCCTCTCTTTCTCACTCTCTCTCTCTTCAACACTATTATTACATTATCAGTTACATCCTCTGATGGGCCACGATTCCATCGTTTCGAAGGAACAAGCTATACTCATCGATGATGAAACTCGGAATGGGCGAGTGTTGAGCGGAACCAAGCCACCGCCGGTATCCATCAAACTATGATCAAATATTTTCGAGCATCCAGGCGAAATTCTCGCTATTCGAAAGTCCTCTTCTCTCTCTCTCTCTCTCCTCCACGCTGTTCTGCGTTACGCAACTGGTACCCGCGTAATACGGAGCAAAATACGGCGCGATGTTCCTACGCAATAAATATTAAATCCGCTCTAGCCGTGAGAGACTTGGGCAACGCGCGATATATGGCGCGCGTTCGATGCTTCGAATCTTTTCTCAGGCGAGTAACGCTCTCTCATTGTCAGCCGTAACGCCTCACCGTCTCTCTTTCTACACCTTCCTACACATTTGGTGCTCGTTTTATCACCTTTCCGTTCGAGTAGCCTAACGTATTTGTTAGATCGGTATTCGACGAAGTGTCGGAATGTTTCGCGGCGATTCGAAACACGTTGAATGGACTCTGAGCTGATTCTTATGTTATAGTGAAATTTTTGCGATTGTTGGTCGATTTGTTCGAGATAAGGATGATTAGCCGTTCAATGTTGTTAGCTGTGGGGAATTTAGGTAGCGGGTTTAAGGTTGCATTTTAGCGAATTTGTAAGGGGAAAATAGAGGATTATGCAAATTTTTGAAGCATGCTTTGTTTGAAGTTTGAAGCACGGAGGATGCTTAGAACCGCGATTTTTCTAGAGAGGGGGTTTTTGGGAGAGGAGATTATTTTGGATATCGAAACAGTAAATTTTTCGATTTTTTGTAAATAAAATAGATATCGAATTAATTTGTATCCTACTTAATAAAACGAGACGTCTGAAGTGCTTGCAACTTTCTGTCCACTATAATTCATTTGTAGAGATCGCAAGAACTTTTGAGCACTTACCTAACCTCACTTAATAGACGCGAAATCCAACACTAACCTAACCTAGCTTAAATTTCATTAATTTTCAAAGGCATTCGGAGCAAAGTCTATCATATTATAATTAATTTGCAGAGATCGCCAGAACTTTTGGGCACTTACCTAACCTCACTTAATAGACGCGAAACCGAACATTAACCTAACCTAACTTAATAAAGTTTCATTAATCCTTAAAAGCATTCGGAACAAAGTCTGCCATATTGTAATTCATTTGCAGAAATCGACACAACTTTTGACCATTTACCTAACCTAACCTAATAGACGCGAAATCCAACACTAACCTAACCTAACTTGAAGTTTCGTTAATCCTCAAAAGCATTCGGAATAGAGTCCGTCAAATTACAATTCACTTGCATAATTCATTTGCAACCTAACCTAAGAAACGAGAGAAATCCAACACAAACCTAACCCAACTCAATAAAGTTTCATCACTTCTCAAAATCACTCGAAACGGAGAAACCCGTTTACCGAACGCGAGAAATGAATGGGGCGGTACACCCTTGCTCTTAATCCACGCACATGCTCTCCCGTGGGCGCGATTTTCCATTTAAAGAGACAGCGAAGCCGTTCTTGCGTTAATCTGCCACGATTGCGAAACGATCGCACATTTAAGAGTAACTCTTCTCACTTCCGGCAAATTTCTTATCTGGTTCCATTGCCCGTGCAAAGTTACCCCTTCGTTTCTCGCCGTGTCTCGACGATTTCCCTCCTAGAGAGAAAGTCCAGCTTTTAGAAGGGGTACCGTACTCCACCTGACCTCGTTTTATCTATAAGCTAATTTCCCTACTCGTTGGATCGTGGACAATCGGAAACACGTACGTCCACGTTACGAAAGAGTTAAACTCTTACAGATCATTCTTGTAGTACATCTGCGGTAGAACAGAAACCTCCTTTTTTCCCCCCCCTCTCTCTCTCTTCTTTTTTCTCTCTTTTCTTTTTCCACGGTTAGACCGCATTTGCATTAAACACACCGCTGTGTGCACACTTTCTTCCGGTAGAGCCGTTGCGTACATAGGCTCAGCCTGTTGCGCAACAGCGTGTACTTATATATGTATATTGTGCGAACGAAAATCACGGTTAGGTTGAAATCACGATCGGATCGATACGATCTACGAGTAATTAATTAATGCAACGATATACAGCAATTATCGAGCAATGTATCTCTCTATCGAAGAAGTCTGTCGTGTAGAAAATCCGACGACAGGAATGTAGCTTTTCCGCCCCGAAGAAATCTCACGAAGCAACGTCTCTCCCTTCGTTCTTTTCTCTCTCTCTCTCCCTTCTTTTTATTCCGTGTCGACGCGTGTTCGACGTCCGTTGCGAAATCTACCTACCCGGATTGTTCCGCTAGACGAACGTTTGAACTTTCTTAATTACACGTGCGAAGATTTCGACAGGGGGAAAACCAGGGAAAATGATACCGTTCGCTGTTTTAGATCGTTACTCGAGATTGGACGAAAGAAACTTTTTTTTTTTGTACAACCATTAATTTTTAATGTTATTAGCAGCGAAGAAAAAATCGGCGGATTGTCGTTGCGTAATTTGCGAGGAGTTTTTCCGTTTTTTCTCTAGATGCGTGTGTACAATAAATCGCACGCAACAGCAGGGGAGAGTAAGGGAAACACGAACGTGGGGTAATTGCGAATTCGCGTATATGTAGTGTTGGAATGATCGCTTGTATAGAATGCAATGCTAGGTCGACGGTGCAAAATAGGTGACACTGATCGAGGTAAAAGATGTTGAAGATTTTTCCTCGTTTTCGTCTGATTTCTTTGAAGAAAGTAAAGTAAGTGTAGCTTTGGCGTGTATAATTATGTTAATACTAACGTTCAATGCTGATGGATTACGTGTCACGATTGCTGCAAATGGGCATATGAAAAGTGCAGCGATGGACAGAGCACGTCTGTAGGAAACTGAGGTAGGTAAGAGGTAGGTAAGAATTATGAACGGTACTGTTTCAAAACTTCGATATTATTATTTCTGTGTGTCGTTTTTGCTGGTTAATCGGTGGACGGTTCTAAGAATTCGATTGGTAACTATATTTGAGAGAAGAGAACACATATTTGGAGGTTTCAGTTGTATTGTAAGTATAAACAACAAACGCGCGTGTCGGGGTTGCAACTTTGTTGCCGGGAGTCGCTCCCGAAAAAGCACAATGTTGCAAAACCCTGTCGTCGGGTTTGCAACTTTGTTGCCGCGAATCGTTCGCGGAAAATGCACAATGTTGCAAAAACGACGCGCCGTGCAACAATGTGCGTTTTCGAGAACGATTCGCGGCAACAAAGCTGCAAACCCGACAACGCGTTTTTGCAACATTGTGCGTTTTTCGCGAATCGCGCACGCGACACAAAGTTGCAAGGGGGAGATCTCGCTTGCAACTTTGTTGCCGCGAATCGTTCTCGAAAAACGCACAATGTTGCGAAACGGCGCGTCGTGCAACAATGCGCCTTCTTCGAGAACGATTCGCGACAACAAAGCTGCAAACCCGACAACGCGTTTTTGCAACATTGTGCGTTTTTCGCGAATCGCACGCGCGTCACAAAGTTGCAATCGAGATCTCTCCTTTGTGTGGTTTTGTTGCGGTCGTCTGTGTGTGGTTTTATTGCTTCTTGTATGGTGGAAAGTTACACACTCATTGGCGGATTTATTGCAAATGATCCGATGTGCTGTTTGTGGCGAACAGTGTTTGCATAGGATAAAACTGGTTCCTTTTTCCAAGTCGTTTCGGTCGAGATGGGGAAATTTTTCAGATTTTTCCCGTTTCTTCTTTTGTACGTTATATGCACGTGTACTGGTGTATTGTAGAGATTTTTTTCTTCGAATATCTTTCTCCTTTTGGCTTCTTTAATTGACTACTTTCCACGTTTCCATCGTGGATAATTTACGACTTCTAGGTTAATTATGTCGCGGTTGAAAATTGTCTGTGACGTAATATCCATATACCGGGAAGTTGTAATATAAATTTAATTAATTAGTGAAAGTCCAAACGTAAACCACGCGTTTAATTAGAGTCTTTCACAAAACTAGCGCCGCCCCTGAGTATGTAAGCACCGGGCGTGATTTTATCGGCTAGCATCAATTGCTTTCCAATTAATTTCACCGGGTGGAAATGATTTCCTCGTGTCATTTCACGGTGAAACACGAGTCTTGATCGATCTGTTGCAAAACGCTTAGCTGTTCTCGCTAAACATTTTCCTATTAGATTCTCATTGGTTTCGGGGTAATAGGTGATTGTGTGCGACTAGATGGTCTTTTGCAACTTTGCGACATAGTGTTTAAGTCGTGTCTGGTTAAACATATCGCTGTTCTAGTGGCAAAGTCGCGGAACTGTGAAAACTTCACTTTTCAGAAGAGAGGAAAATCACATTGTCCATTTAATATCAAATCATTTTTTAATTGAACAAAACGAATAAATATAAATGGTATAGTTGGTTGATAGAAAGATAATTTAGCATTAATTGCCAAAATGATTCTTTCTCTCCTGAAAAAATCAATTTTTCCAGTTTAGTAATTTTACTCTTCCTACGAAAATTGGATCCTTTACATCCAAGCCTACTTTCACACTATTCCAGGCTTCCGAAACATCTGACAAAATTCTGATACCCTTACCAAACTCTACTACATTATACAATAGCCCTACAAGTCAAATATTTAAAATAAAAATTCACTTCGAAGAAGAAGAACAGTGAAATTTCCTTTGGGTCATAAATGACCCAGGCTGCCTAAGGAGGGTTAATTTCGATCGTCCAATATTCACCCGCCAAATTTGTAAATGTAGAAAGATGAAAATGAAAAAAATACGAATTAACGATACTTTTCTCCATTAAAGAAATCAAGTGTAACTCACCTTAACGCGATATCGTTGCCTGATCTCGGTTTGAGTCTTGGGGCACCTGGGCGGGATCTGCAGGCACCAGGTGAACGTGTTCACGATAACCGGCTCCTTGTACGTTTCCATCGACGTGACCGTGTAGCTACAATGTTTGATCAATTAAGTGTCCGCTTCTCTCTCTCGCGATACCCTTATCGGGACGCCATGCTACGGGACCAGGTGACCGCGTAATAAACTAACAGCTCTGGGTTATTGTCAAGGCTCGTCTGCGAAGGTGTTTGCTCACTGTGTCAGAGATATTCGTACCTACGTTCAATACTCTTGCGACATTTCTCCTTTCTTGTGGCTCACTTTTGGATAAAAATCTTCGGAGGGAAAAAAATTGCAAGAATGTAGGTTTCAGGTAGTGTAATAAGGTATGTGTAATCTGGAGCATTTGTGGTTTCAATGTAGAAATACACTGGGTGTCACAATAATTTTGGCCAGTAGTGATTCCTCTTTTTAACCCTTCTGTGACTAGTGGGACGTTTATGGCGGGACGTTTGAGTATAGAAATATTCCTTTTTGTAATATACTGGGTGTCACAATAATTTTGTTCAGTAATGATTCCTTTTTTTAACCCTTTTGTAATAAGTGAGACGTTTACGTTTTTTTAGTGGAGCACTTGTGGTTTGAGTATAGAAATGTTCCTTTTTGTGATATACTGGGTGTCACAATTATTCTATTCAGTAATGATTCCTTTTTTAACCCTTTTGTGACTAGTGGGACGTTTATGTTTTAACGTGGATCGTATGTGGTTTGAATATAGAAATGTTCCTTTTTGTAATATACATACTGGGTGTCACAATAATTCCTGTCGTTACCAGTGAGAACTCGAACAAAGACTGATCTCAATTTAGATAAATAAAGAAATTTCCAATCATATCTAAACTACTCACTTCTCCTTTCTGGGGCAAATATTGCTCCCCGAGTAGACTCTCGAGGAAGACGCCACGAGTAATGGGACCAATATCCAGATCCTCGAACTGCTCATTTCCACTTTTACGAATTTTCACCTGCAATTCCAACCGTTCTCAATATTATTAAAAAAACATATTTACACACTTAACCCTCTATAACTCCTTCTCACTTAAAAGTAACATATCATGTACTGTACTAGCCAATTTCATTTGCAATAATTAAGCATTAACCCTTTCAGCACGATACTCATATATGCGTCCACAAAACCCTACGGACGCAACCAATAAACTCGTATTTTTAACCAAGAAAAATATTTAGAGTGATCATGAACTCATGCACGTAATTTTGATGTAAGTAATTTAGTTAAAAAAAAAAACAGAAACTGAAGTAGCGACCTAATTATTAAGTCTACCGGAAAGTTCTGTCCGATAATGTCATCTCAAGATCCAAAGATGAGTCATTCTACAGAAATGGAATCCACAAATTACCATCACGCTGTGAAGAGGTCATTAGTAACGATGGAAATTATATTGTCCAAGAAATATTAATAAATGCATTGGAAATGTATTATTCTCTTTTAATTCAAAAACGGACAGAACTTTCCGGTAGACCTAATACCTGTTACACAAGTAATCAGTACCTCGATATAACACACAGTCTTAGAGCCACTCGGAAGCCAAAATTACTATCGAAGCACATGTTTGGTGCTTAACCCTTTCGTTGCTATTGGCGCCTATAGGCGTTAGAGCCTTTCGGTACACTTCTACCTTAATTTAATACATAATTTGATCCTTTACGCACTTCCACCTTAATCTAATAAACCGAATTTCATAACGTCGCGGCGAAAATAACAAATTTTGTCAGTCGTGGTTAAAAATTTGCCGTCAGCATTAAAATCTGCCGCGGCGAAAGGGTTAATTCTTCAAGCACAAAAAAATCTACCAAACATAGCTCGACGAAATTAATCACGTTAGCTCCCGAATGGCTCGATTCTTTGCTCCTCCCGTGAAAATGCCGAATTACAAACCGCAATTTTTCATCGTGACGTGTAATATTTGGTCGTCGAAACGTTCACGAACGAAGAAAAATCAGGTTACAGAGGGTTAATAGGTACCTGTATGTAGTCAGTCTGTACTCAAGTCTGCCGAAGGTTGCCGCGGTGAAAGTCGCTGGTTCAATTAGCCTTTTCAAAAGGATGCGCCGGCAACAGACGAGTTGGACGTAGGTCGACGTCGTTCGAACGTGTGCGACGCCTCCATCGTCTCGTGTGTCATGTCTGTTTCGCCGGAAACGTATCGTGAGGTGTATCGGCTGGTTAAACGGCCTGCTGTCTAAATGCAGAGTGTCTCGTTACTGTCTGTAACAAGAGACAGACGAGAGGCATCGTGGCATTACGCGCGTCGATGTCTCCGTTAGCGCGTAGAAAAGTGTTTCGCCAAACACTTTTCTACCTTGTGCATACGCTGTTCGCAATTTCTATCGACCTAATAAACGGTCATCGAAACCGTCAACGAGAAAGTGTTTCGATATCGTCGTCAAGATTGGTTTACAGATTCCCGCACACGAGAGAAAATTTGTTTTTTTTTTTTTTTTGCTTTTTGGTCTAGGAAGAGTGGAGAGCGAGGGAAATGGAACGGGTGAGACGACCGGAAATTGCGTGGTCGATGATAAATTTGGCGTAAGAGGGACAGACGCCCTTTGAAAGGACGTTCTTCGCGACAGGAAACGTTAAGTTGCTCCAATTGGCTGATCTGCGCTCGGCTAATAAACATGCTGCTCGAGTGAAAATAGTAAGATTGATGAGATACTTTAAACGTTTAAACGCTTCGTTCGCGTTAAGTTCTGGGGACACTGGACTTTCGGGTTTGCCGGCGAATTGGGACTTTTGTGTATTAACGCGTTTCATCTTTGCCGCTATACAGGCGGAAATAAAAGAAAAGTCTGACGGAAGAATAAATTTTTGTTAAGTACCGTATGTTTATATAAAAAAAGACACCCGGTAGATTTACGTGATTAATTATTAGCGTTCGGAGGCAATTTCCACTGGAAAAGTTCTCACAGTACTGAAGAATAAATATCCGAAAATTTCGAAATTAGATTTTCTATATTTCAGAACCTTAGAAACCCTTTTCCTCTTCATAAAAACACCTTCGATAGGTTTGCGTAATTGATTTTCTGCGCGTGAAGGCAATTTCCACTGGAAAAGTCTTCACAGTACCGAAGAATAAATATCCTATACTTCAGAACCTTAGAAACTCTTCCCCTTTTATAAAAAATCCTTCGATGGATTTGTGTAATTGATTTTTAGCGTTTAGAGGCAATTTCCACTGGAAAATTTCGAATTCAGATTTTCTATATTTTAGAATCTCAGAAATCCTTTTCATATTTACAAAGAAGCCTTCGATAGATTAGTGTAATGATTTTTTAGCGTTTAAAGGCAATTTTCACTGGAAAGATTTTCACAATACTAAAGAATAAATATTGCAAAATTTCGAAATTAGATTTTCTATATTTCTGAATCTTAGAAACTCTTTTCCTGTTTGTCGAAAATCCTTCGATAGATTCGAGCAATTAATTTTCTACGTGTGAAACCAATTCCCTGGAAAAGTCCTAGACTTTCTGTATTTCAGGACCTTAGAAACTCTTCTCCCTCGAACTCACGATTTATACAGAAACCTTTCGAATGTACTATTACACCACGAATTCGACAATCCCACGATAACACCATAAACTCGCACGTTTTCCACTGCGTCTAACGTCATCGACTGACACTCTCCATCGAGTTCTGAGTGAAACGAACCTCGAAACAGCCACATGTGGTTTATAATTCAATCTGCCGTCATTTTTTTTCTCTACTCTGCCCGTGACAAACACGACAGCATAGAGAAAGATCACGGGGAAAGAAATAGTTTCGTAGCCGCCTCCGTTCCACACTGTCAGAGATCGGTGGTTATCTCGTGAGAAACCGTTTCATCCGTCGTATATCGTTTTACGCAACTCTTTTTGATGCATCGTCCTGGTCTGTCGTAGTTACGATACGCGCGACTGTGAATGAACCTCCTCTTAAACACAAACAGCTCCCAACTCTCTGAAAATCAAGATAGGATCTTCGGCTGTTCTTCGGTTCGCACTCTCAGATTCCAGATCAACGCGGAAGATTAACAAGGAAGATTCTAATTATCCGATTATCCCGGCAACCTTGGCTTTGAAGAAATTCAAACGAGCTAATTAATTCGTCTCTGGATCTCTTAAGAGAGAGAGAGAGAGACTTTGTAAATGTAGATGAACGAACGTAGAGACCTTGCGGTGAAATCTTAGAAGGCTCGGATGTGTATATATACTCTCTCTTAAATCACAGGCAAATGATTCTTCTTAGTGAATCACATTTATTCGAATAAACGATAATTTGGTCAATTTGGTGATTAAATAGAGAAGAATGAATCAGTTGCAGAATTAATGAAAAAAGCATTAGGTTAAGAAAAACAGGTGAGTTTCAAGAATCTTCAGATATACACTACCGGCTAAAAGTTTGGAATCACCTCCCACTTTTCATCAATATTAAATCTGTTGCCAATTTTTTATAGATTTGCAGTTTATCTCAATTCTACATTTATCAATTTACCTCATATCAATTGATTCGAACGATAAAAAATTCTCAAAGTCGCTGACTTTTTTCTCGAAATTTTTGTCAGTGATTACAAACATTTGGCCGGTAGCGTATGCTCTCTCTTAAGTGACGCACAAATGATTCTTCTTAGCGAATCACATTTATTCGCATAAACGACAATTTGGCCAATTTGGCGATAAAAAAAAAAAGAATCAACGAAAGAAGAATTAGGTTAAGGAACAAAAGGTGAGTTTCAAGAGTCTGTAGGTATACATACTCTCTCTTAAATCACACGCAAATTATTCTTCTTACAATTAGCGAATCACATTTATTCGCATAAACGACAATTTGGTCAACTTGGTGATTAAATTAACAAAATTCAATCAGTCTCAGAATCAATGAAAAAAGAAATCAGGTTAAGGAGGAAAAGTGAGTTTCAAGAACCTTCAGATACTATATTCTCTTTCTTAAGTCACACAAATGTTTCTTCTCACTCGAACACATTGATTCGCATAAACGACGCTCAATTTGCCGATTAAAAGAAAACAGAATCGGGTTAAGAGAAAAAGATGATTTTCAAGAACCTTCACATATATATACTCCTCCTTAAACGACACACAAATGTTTCTTCTTACTCAATCGCATTCATTAGCATAAACGACGATAAAAAAAGATGAATTTCAAATCTCTCTCAAATCACACGCGAATAGGTAGAGGTAGATTTAGCAATTAAAAAAAAACAGAAACACCATAATTTACATCTTCAAATAAACATACCCTCTCTCTCAAACCACACAAACGATTCTTCTCACCGAATCACATTCGTTCGCATAATCGACACCGGAATCAATTTAACGATTAAAAAACAGAATCCCTGAAATTCGTTCGATCGCATCGTGATGGCACACGAAAATCAGAACGCAAGAATTGTCCTTTAAAAATGATTCGATCCCCGATAAAGAAACGATAGGAGTTAACAGGGTTAACGGCCGTCCGTTTTCCGAATACGCCTCGTGCAGTAACAGTACGTCCATATAGGTACAATGTCATCATCGAGCGCATGACTAATTTCAGCGACTTTCCATTTCCCCTTTCCGTTTCGTCGTCGATGGAAAGCCGATCGACGTTACGACAGCCACACGCGTTCCTGCAGCAGAATGCACATTCCTGCGCGATTCTGTTTTAACCTGTTATAAACTCGCGAAATTGCCCTGTCTCGTCTCCACCGTGCGATGGCCACGTTCAAGCCTGCACACGTTGAGAAAGGGTTACGTGATCGACTCCTCTGGCGAAATGTGTATCAGAAGGCGTGGCGTGATGCAAACTTTGAAACCTTCTTCGAGGACACTTTTTACCGGATCGAGTAATTCCTCCTTGCACACGCAGGAGGAAGAAAGAAGATTTTTCAAGTCCTTACGGAATTATTTTTTGGTATAACGCGGCAAAGGTATCGCGACTATTGTTTT